GGTGGAGGCTGAGGCAGGAGGAGGACCATTATTGTCTGAGACTTGGAGGCGTGGAGCCTGCTGCAAGGGAAGATGTGTGACAGGAGCTGGGGGAGGTGCTATTGTCCTCTCTTTCTGTCACCTATTTTCTCAGGGCAGCATAGGCAGCATTTTGTGTTGATGGACAACTAGCTTTTTGATACTGCAGGACATTATGAAATGACTTCTGTTTCCTAAGTACGTGGATGACGGAGCCACAAGTGGCCTAATGGCTGCTTAGGGATCTGGTGTTTGTCCACTCTGTTAGCTTCTTTCTTTTAGAAGGAGAAAAATGTTTAACATCTCCTCTGTTTATCCCATTGATTTAGCATCCTGATGTAATTGAAATTGCATTTAAAATAAGAATTAAAAGAGAAAAACTTAAAGATTCGTATGAAAGGAGTGTTTCATTGTTATCCTCCCTTCTGGAAAGTAAAGCAGCTTTACATATGTATTCTATGCATGGTTTATTGAAGGGACAGGGTATAATATGTATAATATATACTATATCTTTGCTCAGAATTTAAGTACAAGTCTTCTTTGCTTCAATTGGATTTTCCTACCAATCAAAATAGTCTAAAGAAAGACATAAAATATAGTTACAATCTCTGCCTTGCTTTATTAGTTTAGAAACACGTCAGAGCTCAGATTGTTCTGAACTTTGATCACTAGTACATTGAAATTTACTAAATTAACTCTGCATCTCTTTTATCAGACACAATTTAAAAGAACAAGTTCTAAGCAAAATATATTGTTAATGAATAATAATTGGAGGTTTAATAAAGGGATGTGTTAAATGAAACCCCCAAATCAAGGGGAAGTTATTAATCAGATAACATTTGAATATGCCAGAATTAGACAAATTCTCAGTAGTTGCATGAGCTTTACTAGAAAGAGAAAGTAATAACCAGTGTACATCAGTCAGTTTAATTACAACTTAATTTTTCAAAAGTATCCCTAAGGAATTTCTCCAAAAAACTTGGGGAAATAATGTAGCTAAGTTACACCCAGTATATTAAGCACTTAAGCGTGTGTGCTCCTTTCAGAAAATTTGGCAGGGCACACAACTACGTTCGCAAAAAGCTAAAATATTAATGGAAGTATTAACATTGTCAGATTTTACAAATTGGATTGAAATTTATCATGTGTGCCATAATAGTGGGCTTTTCCTTCAGATCAGAAGATTTTTAAAGGGGAAAAAGACAAATTTACAAAAAGGAGTCTTACTTCACCACTTTTGAGCTCAGGCTTTTTTCGGAAACTCAGTCAATTGCCCAGCACTGTGATCACCTAGAGGGCACGGGCACACTCAAAGCATGGAACCTGAGCTGTCACCAGGTGTGGTGCTATCTACCATCCACCAGTGGTGCCAGCATTGAATGATGGGGGGAAGGCTTGAGTTCTTTTATTTGGCTGGTTGGCAGTTACCAGCATCTTCATTTCAGTCTAAATTCACATGGATTCTTTAACACTTCCAACAAAAGAAAAAAATTCTTGTTTTGTGCAACATATGAAGTTTACTTTCTATATTTTTTAAACCGCCCATTAAAAGTCAGTCATCCTTCTACATTTGGATCTAAAATAAAGATTTTTAACTTACATTTGGTTGTTAAATGAGGCTCTGGGTGTGGAAAAGGATTACTATATTTGATTCTCTTTTTTTGATCATAGAATCTGTATCTTTCAGGAAGGACCGGCTCTGTGTGATTTGGGTTTAGCATAATCTTATTACAGAATATAGGAGGAGGAGAGATGATGCTTGGAAATATCTGTTAGGTTTACCACAAGCAGATCCTAAGACAAGGGTCTGGGTACAGTAACTTAGTTGGGAAGTGGTTCTCTTTAGCAGGGTGAGGGCGTGGAACCATGAAGTCAGCTCCCTTCAAAGAGGGAGGTCAGCTCATCAAAGGGACTGATGATGGAAGCAGGACTCTGTCTTGCCTGGGATTCTCTGAGGGATGTACTGACCATGCTCAGATTTCCCACTGAGGGATGTTGATGCAAAAGCTGGAGTATTTATTCATCAGCTACCTCTTCATTAGCGGACACACAGGAAACCATGCATTCAGGAAGTAACAATCTACAGTGACCCCCAAGCAAGAAAGAAGGGAAATGAGTAGGGTATTGACAGCCTCGGCTATAAGAAGCATAGCTAGAAACTCATGTAAGCACTGGAAACGTCGACTGTTTTAAATTCAGTGGAAGATGGTATTGAATCCACGTACACACAGGTTATCATCATAAGCTCTGCTAATGGGGAGTTATGTACACTGAGCACCTGTGGCTTAATGCATTTCATATTGTCTCAGCCCTTGACTCATTACCCATCAGAAAGAGTCCAAAATGGGTTTTAACCTAATCAAGCCAATCTTAAGACATCTCTGTAGATGCACAGATTCTACTGGAATTTCCAAATAGATAGCCTAGATCCAGACCCATAATTATTTATAGTCTACATGTTAATATTCCTTATCACTGCTTTAGAAATAACATTTGTTTTCAACATCTACGTGCTTTGATTATGACAGATTCAATGGGAAACCCCAAAGCCACATGCCTCCCTTCTCCCATCAGGGGCTCCTCTGTTCATGTCTGAGAATATGACCGGACAGGTCTCCTGATTTTTTTTTTTTTTTTTTTTTTTTTTGAGCCAAAGTCTCGCTCTGTTGCCCAGGCTGGAATGCAGTGGCACAATCTCGGCTCACTGCAACCTCTGCCTCCCAGATTCAAGCGATTCTCCTGCCTCAGCCTCTCAAGTAGCTGGGACTACAGGTGCCTGCCACCATGCCCAGCTAATTTTTAAGAATATTTTTAGTGGAGACAGGGTTTCACCATGTTGGCCAGGCTGGTCTCGAACTCCTGACCTCAGGTGATCTGCCCGCATCAGCCTCCCAAAGTGCTGGGATTACAGGTGTCAGTCACCGTGACTGACCAGGTCTCTGATATTTGTGGATAGAAATTTCACACTTTCCTCACCAGCCTTCCTCTTTTGGTATGAATAGACTTTGGACATTATAATTCCTTTGTATGTAATATTTTGGCCTCACATCCAATTATTCCATCTATTAATCAATAAACAGAAAGAATAGGAAGTGACCATCCACAGGGTGCCTCACTGTACTGTATGCTCAGGACCTGCAGAAATGGAATTCAGTGGAGGCAATACTAGCAGAACTCAACCCCTAAAATTTACAGGACAACTTCTATCTGCTAAACACGTCCACGGGTAATCAAACTCGTTCGATTACCTTTGGAGTTTCTCAAAGGTCTAACAATTTCATGAGTCACAGAGGCCAAAGCATAGAGAAATTGAAGATAAGTGGCAAGTTTATGTATTTGGGGGATGAGTAGCCAAATGTGAGTAGATGACAGAGTAGTTCTTTATATCACAATGATGAAAGCTAGCAATTGAAGTGCCATTAACTTAGAACAACCCCCTGTTTTTTTTCAAGTGGGCTCTGAGAAGAGAGTGGGATCAGGCCATGCCCTTTCAAAAGCGCTAATGGTAAATCAAAGAAGAAAGTGACAGGGTCTCTGGTATCATATCATTCATAACCAAGGCTTCAACACACAGTGCACTTGCTGTCAGACGAGACTAGACAGACAGGGTGGTGTTTGGAAGAAGCTTAATGCCTGACTCTTGGGAAACAGAAGGGCAACCAAAGCAGAGAGTCTCTGCATCCTTCTTTAATTTACCATTAGTGCTTTTCAAAGGACACGGCATTTATTGGTCAAAGATGGATACTTTCTGAATAAGTGAATAAGTGAATGAATGAATGAACAAATGATCAATGCTCAGTTATGCCAGTACATGGAGAAACTACCTGCTATACACTGAGGTTCCCCCATGGGTACATACTGTGTCTTCTGTTGCCTTTGCACTTGTCTTTCCTTGGAGGGATGAGCTGGGGGTAGGATTATCCCATCTGCATCAGAATGCACTCCTGGCCCACCCTCAACTCTCTCAGTGGAAGTTTCCAACAGCCACCCAAGCGATGTGCACTAGGAGTGGACAAAGAGATTGACACCTGGCCCTGTGAACCTGAAAGCAAATCCGAGCTTCCCCTCCTCCCCTAATCCCTCATCAGCTTACCAAAAAAAAGAAAAAGAGAAAGAGAGACAATGTGATAAAGATGTCATAGATAAAGTGTTTCATTGAACAAATATTTGTTTATCAACTTGAATATCAGTTGCTAAACTCTACAATAGAGTTAGACTTTTCCTCCAAAAACTATTGTGTATTTTCACTGAGGAGAATGAGAAAATGCCACTCTAACTAAAATAAGTTTATGTTAAAATGAATACAATATTATTTACTAATATTTATTGTTTTCTGAACTTACTGAATATAAAGACCAAAAATTCTCAAAAAGCTCATATGTTATCATTTCCTGGTGTTCCACCTGTAGTTTCTTATGGATGACATTTTACAGAAGCTAACACTTCTGACTCCATTTTTATAATAGCTTAGAATTACTAAGGAGGATTGGGTGCTTATCATAGAGGAAATGAAATCTTTGAAAGTATTTATCTTATTTAAGAAATGCACAATAGGTAGACTATCAGCTGTCTTTCTTAAGTGCAATAAAGCTAGCATTTTAGCTCAGAAATGAATAAGCAGGCGAAAATGAGTGTTTTCCATCTTAGACTGACCAGTGGTTTCTGAAATTTTAATATTGATTCTGCTTTGCTACTTTAAAATCAAAATAGATTTAAAAATCTCTGGGGAAACAACTTTGCTTTCCTTTATTCTTCATGCTGAAGAACACACACTTAGAATTCAATAAATAATATAATAATACACTCTGACCTTAGAAAATCTCTTTTTATTCCCAATATATATTTCTAGAATCTGTATTTTAGCTTCTAGGAAAGAGTTCCCAAATTGGCCTTCCTGCAAATCAGTGAGGATCTCCAGTGTCATTTGGTCATCCCCCGCGTTGTCTGAGAGACATTTGTTCCTCCTTCCTCACCTTGTCCAGGAGCGGCTTCTGCTCTCCCTGCTGCCGGCCCACATCGCCATGGAGATGAAAGCAGAGATCATCCAGAGGTTGCAGGGCCCCAAGGCAGGCCAGATGGAGAACACAAATAACTTCCACAACCTGTACGTGAAGCGGCATACCAACGTGAGGTACGACGCCGTGCTTGCTCCTTGGCTGGTCTGGGAGCCTGTTTGCCTGATTGGAGACATTTTGCCTGGGATCTCACATCTCATATCACTGTCTCTCCTTTGTGACAGTGGATCCTTTGCAGGGGAAATAATCACCCAAATTCTGCCACCACACTCACCTGTTGCTGCCTCTCGGGGCCTTCACATTAAGATGAGAAAATAGGATGCTGTTTGCTGTATTGGATTGAGTTGTCCTTTACAGCCCTGGCTTCTGTGGCCAAGCATCCGTCACAGAAAGGAATGAGGGGGACAGCGGGGTCTTCATTCTGGAAACCCTGTGGTCAGATTGCAGTAAGATTGGAGGGAGAGTCTGTGGGATCTCCAGGCACAAAGACTGAGTCCTCCAAATAGACTTTGCAGGACCAGGGCCTCTGTGAAGACAGCACATCCCAGGGAAACTGGGTGTTCTTCTCTCCATCAGCATGAGGAGTTTCTCAGATCTGGAAAACCGGTGACCAGTGTCACAGAACAATGATGTGCACCTTAGTTAATTTACCGTGAAAGTTACTGCTTTTCTGAGTTACTCATATCTACTTCCCAGGAGTCATTCTGGGAATTACAGTGCCTGGGAAACTAACATGTTATCTTCATGGGATTATAGTAGGGAAGCAGACTGGTGTGAGGCTTCTGTCTCCCACGAGCTCTAGAGAGGAATTGTGAGGAGGCCTCACTTCAGGCTGGAGAGGATCGTCCCTCCCATTTCTCTCCTGCCCCTGTCTCCGAGCCACAGCAGAGCGAGGCTCACCCAGACTATCTCAATCTCTGTGTCCCTCCCATTCCCAGTACCACTTCTTTTGGGGGTTTGTTCTTTCATCCACTCAGTGTGTTAATACACTACTTTGCATTCTAGCTGTGTGTATTTGTCCATTCTTGCACTGCTATGAAAAACTACCTGAGACTGGGTAACTTATAAAGAAAAGAGGTTTAATTGACTCACAGTTCTGCAAGCTGTACAGGAAGCATGGCTGGGGAGGCCTCAGGAAATTTATAATCACGGCAGAAGGTGAAGGGGAAGTAGGCATATCTTATGTGTCCAGAGAAGGAGAAAGAGAGGGAAGGGGAAGGTGCCGCACACTTTTAAACAACCAGAACTCGTGAGAACTCACTCGCTATCACAAGAACAGCAAGGGGGAAATCTACCCCTCTGGCCGAGTTGCCTCCCAGGCCCCTCCTCCAACACTGGGGATTACAACTCGACATGAGATTCGGGTGGGGACACAAATCCGAACCATATCACTGAGTTATCACCATAAGTAACCTGTGCATATATCTGACCTCATTTGTTATGTTTTGATGGTCTTAGTTTAGTCGTTAGAGTTTTTAGAAGATCCAGGCTGCTTCAAGTCTACGTTTTTTGAAGCTTGTTATTAAGAAATAAATTTAGCCATTACTTAAAGACATTGTTAGGACAAATCTCATTTGACACCAGATTTTAGAAAAGCTATATAATACCCAAGCATATACAGATGTCAGTGTGATACAGGAAACTCATATCAGGAAGGAGGTAACAGAAACACATTTGTGTATGAATGGGAACTAAGGAAGCATGACTGGATGGATACATGATAGTAAAAACTAAATACATTCAAAGAAAGTTCACACATGTTAAGGAGTAAAATTATTTAAAATACTGGCTTGCCTTCAGGTTTGTGAGCATTTTGCCTATGCAATTACAGAAGAAACATTTAGTTATCTAAGTGTATTATGCTATTAATGGCTCTTTCTAGCCTTAAATGTCTGAAATTAGCAATGCCCCTCCCATCTTGGGAAATATTTTTAAGTCATTTTTTGACCACTCAAGTATACCTGACACCTTGGCCTTGTCCTCCCACTTAAAGAATTTTCGCATCTTTTTGTCTCATGACATTGCATTCCCTTAGTTTTCTTCTGACAGTCTGTTTTGTTCTTTTGTTTTCCCTAAATTAAGTCTGTCCTGTAAATGAGAATATGTTGGGGGCTCTCTCGTACCTCCTCTCTGTTTCTCTCCAGTCCTCTTCCAGGACTTCAATTGCCACCTAAATGATGCTCATACACAGGCCTCAACCATAGCTTTCCATACTCATCTACTTAATGTGTATCTAAGACACCACCATCAAGCACAGCACAACCAAAGTTGGACTAGTCATCTTCCCCTACACACTTGTTTTGATTTGCACAAGCCTAGATTTCTGAACGCTATCGCTCAGCCAGATATAGGATCTTCATTTTCAATGCTTCCCTCTCCCAGACAACCCCTGCTACAACATCAAATTAGTGACAAATCAAGTTCATTCTTCCTGTCTCCCACGTCTGTCCACTTCTGTTTCACTACATTATAGACCTTCAGTGGGGCTCTCCAGGATTCCAAGGATATAGTTCTAACTGACCTGCCTGTATCCAGGTTGCCACAACAGGAGTGATCTTTCTAAAGTGGCAATATGGTCAGGCTCTAGGTGGGGTTTTCTTCCTCTATGGTCCCATAAGTGCACTGTACTTTCTCTACCATAATCCTTTGCAGCTTTGTACCTTGCATCACAATTGGCTGCCTTTTTTTTTTTTTTTTTTTTTTTTTTTGAGATGGAGTCTCACTCTCTCACCCAGGCTGGAGTGCAATGGTGCAATCTTGGCTCACTGCAACCTCCGCCTCACGGATTCAAGCAATTCTCCTGTCTCAGCCTCACAAGTAGCTGGGATTACAGGCACCTGCCACCGTGCCCAGCTAATTTTTTAATATTTTTTAGTAGAGACAGGGTTTCACCATGTTGGCCAGGCTGGTTTCGAACTCCTGACCTCAGGTGATCCACCCGCCTTGGCCTTCCAAAGGGCTAGGATTACAGGCATGAGCCACCATGCCTGGCCGCCTGCTTACTTTTTTAATCCCTTTGCTGCAAAATAACCTCTGGACCAGCTTAAGCTATCTGCAGGTAGCCTGCGTCAGAGCTGCTTTGTTCACTGTAAGTTTTGAGCACAAGAAGCACTGGAGACGATGTGAACAAGAAGGAAGTGGAGTCAACTGCCCATCCACACGTGCTACCTCCCAATACTGCTTTGAATCAGGGACTCTTTCTCTGAGCGAGCATGGTTCATCCTTCCTCTTGCGCAATGGCTCAGCACTTGTGATACCTGCCGCTGTAAGTCAGCATGGAAGAAATAGGGATGATTTCTTGGGGATCATCTGAACAGAGTGGAGGGTAAAGCTGCCCTCAAAACTCTGATTTTCCTGTAACCATCAGAGCTCTCCCGTAGGTCGTGTCCATCAGCAGAGGAGCAAGTATTTCCTCTAAGGTGCAGCCACACATCCTGGGCATCCTATGGCCAACAGCAGAGTCTTGCCCTGCTCTGGCTGAGACCCTGCTGACTGGTGCCCCTGTTTGTACCTTTTTTTTTTATTGTAAAATATGCATAGCATAACATTTACAATTGCAATCGTTTTTAAGTGTACAGTTCAGTTGGATCACGGACACTTACGCTGTTCTACAGCCATCAATATTATCCATCTCCAGAACTTTTTCTTCATCCCAAACTAAAGCTCCAAACCCGTTAAATAACAACTCCACACCTCCCCCTCCCCCAAGTCCCAGGCAACCACCATTCGAATTTCTGTCTCTATGGTTTGACTATCCCGTGTGCCTTGTATATGTAGAATCATACAGTATTTGTTCTTTGCACCTGGCTTATTTTACTTAGCATAAGGTTTTCAGGAGTTTCAGCACATGTCAGAACTTCATTTCTTTTAAAGGCTGCCTGACATTCCATTGTATGGATAGACCACATTTTGTTTATTCATCCATCTGTCGATGGACATTTGGTTTGCTTCCATCTTTCGGCTATTGTGAATACTACAGCTATGAACATTCATGTACAAATATCTATTCAAGTTCCTGATTTCAGATCTTTGGATATATACCCATAAGTGGCACTGCTGAATCATATGGTATTTTGTTTAATTTTTTTGAGGACCAACCATATTGTTTTTCAGAGTGGCTGCATCATTTTACGTGCCCACCAGCAATGCACGTGTACTCCAGTTTCTCCAGGTTCTCATCCACAACCATTATTTGTATGTTTTATAAGAGCCATCCTAATGGCTGTGAAATAGTAGTTGTTTTTGTTTCATGGGACATCTTAAGTCATACATATTCACTTTGTGAATCTCAAACCACCTACAGAAATTTAGGCTTCTTTATAAGACCTTGATACAAATCAGAAACGTGTTATTGTGTAGGAAAAGTTGCAGTGTGCACACAGGTGCTGTGTTTTCCTGTTTTAAACACATAAAAGCTCTAAGGAATCTCACACTCGCCTTCCCTAGTGTGTACATCCCATGAAGGGAGCTGTTCTGTCATTTCCTAAGAGTGACCTTCCTGGCCTCCTCACTGTCCAATCTGCCCCTGCTCTTCTCTCTCATAACACTGTCTCGTTTTCCTTTGTAACCCTTTTTATGATTTGTAATTGGACATTTGTTGATGTCCACATGTGTTCAATACATCGTCCCAGCTAAATTCTGAACATCAGGAAGATATTCCATGTCTGCTTCATCCTGGCAGATAGGAGGAATTCCAGAATCATTTAAGGAATCTTTTGTAAAAAGAGGATTATTTTCCAGTTTCTTCTTTGACTCAATATAAACAGAATTGGTTTTTTTAATTATTTTGCTGCTTCACTCCCCATCTTAACTACAAAAGTTTAACCTCAAAAAATGTTAATTAACAAGTGTTAAAAAATGTTTATGTATTCTTAATTCAAAAAAATGACATCTTACTCTTGAAAATATAAACAAAATTACATGATTTTAATGGCAAAATTATTATTACTTTCTTAAAAAATGGATAAACTGGAAAGCTCTGTCTCCCCACCTCCTTTCTTCCCACAGCATCTTATACGCTGACATTGTTGGCTTTACCCGGCTGGCAAGTGACTGCTCCCCAGGAGAACTAGTTCATATGCTGAATGAGCTCTTCGGAAAGTTTGATCAAATTGCAAAGGTGAGTGTTATGGATTCTCTTGCTCTCTGAAGATTTCTAGACTCTTGGTTTCATTTTTCTTCATCCACCTATCAATAGTTTACTTTTTCATAAAAGCATCCTTTAGGAAGGTTGTTTGTAAAAGTTGGATTTCTTTGCTATTGGTCTTTCATGAGCCTCAAACCTGTCTCAGGGATGAGAAACAGCATGGCATATCATTATCACGTTTTTATCTATTTTAAAACTTCCCCCTATGTATAATTCAGCACACATATAATAAATACATTCCAGGCAGTGAGATTCCGTTTGCAAATCCCTCTGCATGGTGTTCTTTGAGGCATTTCCATGTCAAGGATCTGGTAGGATCGTTTCCACTCTTCTAGTTGCCAACATTCTCTATTCCTATTGTTAAGCAGGACCCTGGAAGAACCCCTGAAATAGAATGGGTATCTTCCATGCAAAGCCTTCCCTTACTCTTGTCTCATTTTTATCCTTTGATTCTTGTACCACTTAAACAGAAATGGAAGTTCAAGGTCTTCCATTTGTATGCTCTTTCATGGACAATTTCACAGATAGGAATTGACATGAAACCATCTGAAACCACACTAGACCCTATTATTTATTAGAACTGTCACAGTTGCTGGTGGCAGTATCGATGGCAAAAAGTTTCTTCCTGCAAGCCCTGTACTTCTCATTAAATGTTTCTGGTCAATTCTCTCTTTGAATTGTTCCCAACAACAACAACAAAAATGCTTCATTATGCCTACTAATATCAGTTATTTATCTATGGAAGAATTGGTCCTAAATTTAGTTCACTGTGTGATTTAGATCACTTTTCAACAAGACAGAACATTCCAGCCAAGTCTCTTAGGAAGAAATCTGGCTTGCAGATGTTAGTATGATCATTCTTGCACCAAACCCCCCAAGGTTTTTGCCTCCTGTAGTTCCGCTGACCATGACAGCTCTCACTGGAGATTGTAAAAAATCAGTTAAAGTACAGCTCTGCTTCCTTCCTTTACCAAGCCAAAGGAAGGGTTGAGTTTTATGGGTGTTCGTTTATAGGAAAAGAAAGGTTTGAAACTTACATGATGTCTTAAAAGTTTGAATTAATAAAAGGTCATTTCTGTTAGACTACCTATTCGTGTTAGGAAGAAACGTTTCTATCTTGGCTGGGAACAGCGTAACTCCAATGTTCAGATGACATTCTCTCCTCAACGTGCCTGTCTCGGTGTACAGGTTTCCTTCTTAGAGGATAAGGGCCCACCCAACTCCAGTTCTACCTCCTCTTAACTAATTAAATCTGCAACAGCCCTATTGCCAAACAGGTTCACATTCACAGGTATCAGGACTGACTTTAACATGTGAATGTGGAAGGACACAATTCATTACCCATAACAGAGGTACTCGACATGACTTCCTGTAATCAATGGAACAAAGAAGTGTACAGCCTTGGCTTTATCCATCATTGGTCAGAGGGGCAGTGTGCCTTCATCATGAGTTCATGGCTCACTGTTCAATAACGGGGGGTTCTTGTCAGCAAACCGACACCCCAGTGCATTGAGTACTGTGTAAAGCACATAACCTTACACTAAGGAACTCAAAATCATTGCCATTCACTGTAACTTTCATGTTTTTTAAGTCTCAGAATATCTGTTTAGGAAGTATGGGAGGGAAGCTTGATTAACATGTAATTGTTTGCCTTTTTCTTGTTTATGATATTGTCATCAGGAATTACTAAGCACATCATCTGTAGTACTATAGATACATATGAAAATACATCCTGGCTTGTGCACTATCAGACAGGGAAAGAAATATGCAAAATATTCAGCAAAACTAACACATGTTTGAGAAGAAAATGAGTTCACTTGATTATTTCAAATTTGTTCAGTTTATACATAAGCCTGTGTTTGTGTTAGAGAAAAAAAATGCCCTCATTTGGTACATCTTTTTTGTTTTTAGTTTTCTTTTATTTTACTGAAGAGTCTGTAAGCTGCATCAAAGGGTTAGAAACAAATAGAAGATCAACATGTATGAATGCAGTTAATCTAAATATTAAAATATAAACACAAAACTTAGCCCAGAAAAATAATGAGGTAGTCAAATTTTACATTAAAACAGTTGAGCCTAAGATGAGAATTAACTTTTAAATTACTTGGCAGTGTTTTGAATGGTAGCTTATTAGGTGTGGTGATGTCTATCAGAAGGGACATATCTGCGGGTAAGAATCTGCTTTAGATTTAAAATAAATGAAAGAAACCATAAGCACAGTAGGGAAGGACATGAGATTCTAATTCACACTGAGTGCTGGTCATCATTTTCTACTCTGAAAGACTCAGCTGTGCATAGAATGTTTTATTTCACCATAAATGTTTGGAGCTGCTCAGACTAAAGAGATTGGCCCCATCACTACCCTTCTCTGCTTCTATGGAGTATAAATCATTCCAGAACATTCTCCTTTCTTTCCCATTTTTTCCCCTTTTCTTTATTTGTTCCACTTTGGAAATTGACACGTATGGGAGGGCAGCTCATTCTGGTTGGGTAATGAAGGGAAGCCCAACTGGTTCTCGTTGCTCTCTCCAGACACCCCTGGAATGGTGTGAGCAGAGCTGGCGCTTGATGATATTACATAAATCTAGATCATTTTGCAAGTGCTTAATGCAACTGAAATTCTGTAATTTATTCTTCCAGGAGAATGAATGCATGAGAATTAAAATTTTAGGAGACTGCTACTACTGTGTATCTGGACTCCCTATATCTCTCCCTAACCATGCCAAGAACTGTGTGAAAATGGGACTGGACATGTGTGAAGCCATAAAGTAAGTGGACTGCTTAGTAAGCATTTTTTTAATATGCTTTAAGTTCTGGGGTACATGTGTACAACCCGCTGGTTTGTTACATAGGTATACATGTGCTGTGTTGGTTTGCTGCACCCATCAACTTGTCATTTACATTAGGTATTTCTCCTAATGCTATCCCTCTCCAACCCCCTCCCTGACGGGCCCTGGTGTGTGTTGTTCCCCTCCCTGTGTCCATGTGTTCTCATTGTTCAGCTCCCACTTATGAGTGAGAACATGCGGTGTTTGGTTTTCTGTTCCTGTGTTAGTTTGCTGAGAATGATGGTTTCCAGTTTCATCTATGTCGCTGCAAAGGACATGAACTCATCCTTTTTTATGGCTGCATAGTATTCCATGGTGTATATGTGCCACATTTTCTTTATCCAGTCTATCATTGATGGGTATTTGGGTTGGTTCCAAGACTTTGCTGTTGTGAACAGTGCTGCAATAAACATACGTGTGCATGTGTCTTTATAGTGAAATGATTTATAATCTTTTGCGTATATACCCAGTAATGGGATGGCTGGGTCAAATGGTATTTCTAGTTCTAGATCCTTGAGGAATTGCCACACTATCTTTCACAGTGGTTGAACTAATTTATACTCCTGCCAACAGTGTAAAAGCATTTGTATTTCTCCACATCCTCTCCAGCATCTGTTGTTTCCTGAGTCAGGAAACAATAGTAGGCATTTTTTTTTAACTGTCTAACAATTTGGGGTTGTCAGTCTCACCCATGACTATTTCTATTGTTCTGCCTACTGGCATTAAATACATTATTGTGCATTTAAGTATAATTGTGCAGAAACCCATTTGTTGGGATGTGAGTAACACAATGGAAAGTAAGACTTCATTAAGTGTTTAGTATTGTTTTTGTTTGTTGGTTTGCTTTTGAGATAAGGTCATAGTCTGTCACCCAGGCTGGAGTGCAGTGACCAGATCACAGCTCACTACAGCCTCTACCTCCTGAGCCCAAAGCAATCCTCCCACCTCAGCTTCCCAAGTAGCTGGGACCACAGGCAAGCACCACCACATCCAGCTAATTTTTGTAATTTTTGTAGAGACAGGGGTGTCCCTGTGTTGCCCAGGCTGATCTTGAACTCCTAGGCTCATGCGATCTGCCTGCCCTGGCCTCCCAAATTGTTGGCATGATAGGTATGCACTGCCTGAGTCAGCCTAGTATTGTTACTCTGAGCCTTAGATTACAGTGAAACTGAGTTGGAAATCTATAGGAAGGGACGGTTTTGTTTGTTTCAAAGGTGATTTTTGAAAGACATTTTGAATGTCTTCTTTGATCTTAAGGTAAAAGTGTGCACATGTTATCATCTTTCCAATGTCTGACAAATTCTGTGGCTTCACACACATTGTAAGGGAAGAGGTAGTTTTTACAACCAGACAGCAGTTAATATAAAAACCAATACAAAAATATTTTCGTCGAGTCAAAAATGCTCACCTCTGTGAATTTAATTTTAATTTGTATTTGTAACAAATGTTTTCTGCATTGCATCTATAATTTTTTTCACTGTGATTCCAGAGAAGATTTGCTTACATAGAATATGCTTACATAGAATAATGATATCATTACCATTGACTGCTACAAGGTAAATATATAAGGTAAAAAGGTAATTTTTATTACCAGCATCACAGTTTTATTAGCAGTACCTTCTTTAGTAATGCCCTTTGTAGAAGCCAGAATATTCTTATAAATAATAAAGCCTTTTTTTTTGCTGATTGCATGGTTGGAATATTGTACTTCATTGAGTTTTTCATTGTCCATTTTGGTCAAATGATTTGACCTCATCCTCCACTTTTTTTAAAAAAATATGAACAGGGTTGGAATTACAAGCTTGATGTTCTCATTCTGTATCTCACGATTAAAGTAGAAAGGGCTTTATGTGAGAACACATCAAGTCCTGTTGTCACTGTGTTGGTCATATGCTGAAGCAACTAAAATATTAACAGGTGACTTCCCCAGCCCAGTCCTGGGAATAATGCCCCCACCCCACGCCACCTCCCCACCGCACCCACCACATACACACACACACATGCACGCACACAGCCTCAGCCAATGAAATGGAGAGACCCGCATGTTCCATATTCACTAGCTCTGTAGCAAACTCCTGCATGCTTCTGTCGGACCGATCAGAAATGGGAGGGAAATGAAGTCGATGGGAGAGTTGAGATGGAAAGAGTAGTTAGTGTGAACTCAGTTTCCTATACAAAATGCGTAGTGTCAGAAATAGCCATAATTGCTTCTTCCCATAAGTAATCATATGTACTCTCTGATACATGAAAAATCGCTTTTAGCGTTTTTTTCAAAACTAAGTAACTACTTATAATTCTATGGACCTAGATATAAGTGAATCCAATCAGTGGAACTATTGGATTTTAAAAAAACATTAATTTTTTTTCAAATTTGTAGCCTGCCACTGGTGACAACCACATAAGGTGAAATGAGTAATATTGGAGGGAAGTATTAAGTATTTTTTTTAATTTTCTTTTCAAGTAGTTGTGGAAAAGAGTCTTATGAAGAGCAAAATTATGTGCATCAATAACACACTGGATTAAAGAATCCACCCATTTACTAAAGCCTTGTTTCTGCTTTTGAATGAACTGTTTCCAATTCCATAATGTTTAAGTTATTTACAATGTCTTGAAGATCTTTTAGAAGGAAGAATCCTTACATTGCATGCACTGGCATGTCACCAGTTCATTAGAAATACTATTACATTTTTTACTGTGATAAAATATGTATACCATAAATCTTACCCTTTGAATCATTTTTATGTATATATAAAAATGTACGATGAGACATAAAAATGTACAGTTGTGCAGTGATGTTGAGTAAATTCAAAGTGTTGTGTAACCATCACCACTGTCAACTTCCAGAGCCTTTTCATCACCCCAGACAGAAACTCCGTACCCATTAAACAGTCACTCCCAATTACCCCTTTCCCAGCTCCTGGCCATCCCTATTCTGCTTTCTGTCTCTATGATTTTTACTATTCTGGATATTTCATGTAAATGGAATCATATAATATCTTTCCTTCTGTGTTTGGCTTCTGTCACTTGGCCTAGTGTTGTTAAGGTTCATTTCTGTGGTGTCATGTGTCAGCACCTTTTGATGCTTTGGATGACAGCATAATATTCCCCTGTAGGTATATACCACATTTTATCTATTTTTTGGTCATTGATGCATCAGTAATACCTTACGTCTGCAGAATCTCAGTAATGTCAACAGGTTTGAGGGACCTCTCCCAATTCTTGCTAATCCCTCAACTCAATCCTCAAGTCAGGCAATGGCTTTGTGTCCCTATTACCTGCCACTTGAGGAACAAGGAATTCCACATTATTCCTCTGTTTACTTCATGTATTATAGACAAGGTGATCAATAATATGGTTATTTTGGACTGGGCGTGGTGGCTCATGCCTGTAATCCCAGCACTTTGGGAGGCTGAGGTGGACCAATCACCTGAGGTCAGGAGCTTGAGACCAGCCTGGCCAACGTAGTGAAACCCTATTTCTACAAAAATATAAAAATTAGCCATGCTTGGTGGCACACACCTGTAATGTTAACTACTCAGGAGGCTAAAGTAGGAGAATCACTTGAACCCAGGAGATGGAGGTTGCAGTGAGCCGAGATCACACCACTGTCCACTGCACTCCAGCCTGGGCGACAGAGCAAGATTCTGTCTTTAAAAAAAAAAAAAAAAAAGTTTATTTTGTTACACCCCTATGAAAGCGCAACAACAGAGAGGGCATCTCAGCAAGTTCCAGGAATTGTTTGTCCACTTTCATCCTCTCTCCTATGTAAGGACGCGTATTTCCATTCCCATTCATTGAGCCATGAGGTGGGATGGGTACCAGACAGGAACTGTCATTTTTTAAGCTAGTGAGGGGAATGTGCACAGCGGGCACTTGGGTTTTTGCCAGATGGTCTCAGTGTCATAGGAACCAGCAGCATGAGTCCCAGACGGCTGCCCGCTCTTCCCTCTGTGTTCACACCTCCACACTTAGCAGCACCTCACTCCCTGCGAGCCCAGGCACTGCTACAAAGGCACTTCAGCTGCAATTCTGGAACATCTCCAATGCTTAGAAACATTTCTTTTTTCTGTCATGAACATGTAAATTATTTTTAATCAAGTAATATTGAGGACCTTGATTTTGTAAGGGATTAAGCCTTCTCTTAAACTGTACTGTTTGCCTACTACTGTTGCAAGCTTTAAGCAATGACTTCAACATTTTTCTAGAGCTCGTAAGTTGAATATACATGCAACAAAACATGTGGCGAGTTGATCCGTTTGAACCCATGGTCAACTCATTTTTAAAAAAAAACAACATGGAGACGGTTTTAATGTTTTAACCAGTCAGCTCATTAAGGAGTTCAGCTCTGTCAAATGGACAATCTGAGACTCCTTTTTCCTCCGTTTTGATCCTTCCTTGGCTCTCTGCTGACCTATTTTGGTAAACAGAAATGCCACGTGGTTGGAAATGTCCTCTCAACAACATAAAATGTTAAGAACAATTATGGGTCCTTTAACAAATTTTTCAGGATCATCATTGCTCAAAGACAGAAGCACAGTACATTTTTCAAAAATGACCTTGGTCCATTATTAATCTTGTATGAAGTGGTTGCACTGGGCCTTGAACCCTTTGAGAGGTAAACAATCCACTTGGAGGACATTGTGTCCACCCACACTGAATTTCTGCTGAGGGCAGAGATGGAGACAGACAGGAAGTGCTAATTGCCCTCAGGGCAGTTAGAGGACAGAGGCAGCAGGGCTGCCTAGACCGACCTAGAGGGGAGAGAACAGAAAGCCTTTCTGAATGGCACTGTGCCTGAGCCCGGAAGAACAATGCCAGCTGACCACATGACACCAAAGGGAGGGTTGGGAGCATGGAGAGCAGGAAGAGGAGTCATTATAAGCAAAGTCTGGAGGTGAGGACGCCCTGGTGCTCACACAACCGAAGCCTGCAGATGCAGGGCAAAGGGGTGGGGGTGGGTCTCCTTGTCCTGTTGATGCTCTGGCTCGTTTTGTGGGGCAGGAAGGAAAGGTTTGGATGACTTGCATACAGCCAAATGGGTAGCTGGGTTTTTTTTGCAAAAACAAGAAACGAAGACAGTGAGGGAAAAAAAGGAAAGGAAACAGGAAGGAAAATATCTTTCTGTATTCTTTTTTCAGAATGCGATTTATTTTTACATCGTGGGTCCATTTCGTTTGATCATTTTTAGCATGCTAAAATGGTATCATTATATCATTTAAGTATGACATACATGCCTATGCCATTTTGAGATGTTAATGATTCATTTCACTACGATTCACAAGTGGTAGTGTCTTTCTTTGATTGTGCTGCGGTCGGCATCATTGCTTCCCTCCACATCGTCTCTTGGGGTAATTCTCGCGATATAATTAGGAACATCTTCCTGTATACTTCTTTTGCAATACTACTTTAATGTATTCAGCTAGCAAGAATAAATAAGCATGGCCAAGCATTTCTATTTTTTCTTCATTGAAGTTCATCATTTTTTTCCGTTAATGAGTTGGTGATAGGGTCCTAAAAAGTATTTTTTCTCTTTTTGTTAAAGAATGTGCACAACTGAAAAGGCTTAATGTCATGATTATTTTGCTAAAAATTCTTATTTAAGCTAAAGTCATTATTAAGCTCACAAATGAGCTATATTGTTCTCTTATTAGCAGAAGATATTCGTTGGCGAGGCACATTGTGCTAAGCACTAAAATTGCAAACCCTGTTTAAGACTGTTTCTGACATTACAAGGCAATGTTACCTGATTCTAGTATGAAAATGCAGACATGTGCCAGCACATGGTAGTTGCTTGATACATATTCACTGCAGAAGTAAAAGTTATAGCCAAAATGTTTTGTCATCACTATAGTCTGGCCTAATCTGGCTTTAATGGCAAGAACATTGGTCTAATCTGAAATGACTGGAAGGAAAAACCCTTCTTAGCTCAAAGGAGTGATCTCCTGCCTTAGGAAGGTTCATGGCCATTTCCAACAGTCTGAAAAATTATGAATAATAAAATAGTGGGAAAATTGGCCAAGAGTTAAAGGAAACACTGGATGTTACTTGATCATGATCTCACTTCCCTTCTCTTTAGGAAAGTGAGGGATGCTACTGGAGTTGATATCAACATGCGTGTGGGCGTGCATTCTGGGAACGTCCTGTGCGGCGTGATTGGTCTGCAGAAGTGGCAGTATGATGTGTGGTCACATGACGTGACCTTGGCCAACCACATGGAAGCTGGAGGGGTCCCTGGGTAAGGCCAAGCATTGGATTTCTTTCTTCAAGCAGACGGCACTATTAGGAATGACAGATTATTGGCCTAATGACGGAGTGCTCAGTTTTTTATCACTTCTGTTGCCTCTGCTGGTATCATGTTACCCATGCCCAACAGCCTCTTATATTAAGCAGATAAAGATGAGTTCTCAAGTCCCTACACCATGACCCCTATTGTCCATAGTTCAAAGACTGTGAATATCAAGACAGTAAATTACAAACTTTTACTTATTTGCAAATGTATGAATAGAGACCTGATTTAAAGATGTTTTACAATACAGTCCAGATATGGCATCTGTCTAGAACTGTTGACCCTTAAAACCATTATATTAAAATAAGTGACTACAGCATCCTTCTCTGGGCAGAATAACATATTTCAGTCAAGAGAATCCTTATCAAGCGCTATAGTTTAGAGAAGCAGAAGAGAAAGCACTGAGAAAGAAAATCTACACTATTATACAGATTAGCATGTTTCTAAAATGCCCATGACATACATTTCAAAAGGTATTCTCCAAAAGATTCGAGATAATAAAGTTGTATTTGCTGTAATTCACCACACCCAACATGCAGGTTTCTGTGAGTGCAGAGAAGCTTCAAAACTAGTAGTGCACGACCTCCAAGAGCATCTTTCCAAAGCAGTGGTCAATAGAATGTAAAAGTTTATATTAAAGTTAATTGCAGTCAGTGCTCCCAAGAATATGTAGACTTTCCTTCATTTGGTGGATAAATTATTTCAGAAATCTTGAGCAAATAGAACAACTTTCTTCACACTTATCCTTTTGTGTCTTGACTGTGATTTTAAAATGCAATTTCAGACGTGTTCACATTTCTTCCGTTACCCTGGAGCACTTGAATGGCGCTTATAAAGTGGAGGAGGGAGATGGTGATATTAGGGACCCATATTTAAAACAGCACCTGGTGAAAACCTACTTTGTAATCAACCCCAAGGTCAGTACCGTTGTAAAGAGTCTATGATGAAAAGGGAGGAGGAGCAAATTATAGATATTCATAAGTGTTTTTAGTCAATATCCAATATAAGTTTTTGCTACTCTTTGTCCCCAAAATGATTTTCAATACATAGGGTGGTTTAATTTCGGAAGCTGTTTTGTAATCATGAATTCAGATACTTATTAAATGGGCAGTTGAAATGCATTGCTTGTCCGCAGAATGAGGGTGTTGATGCAGGTTGCTGGTTCAGGCTGTCATGTGTGTTAGTCGGTGGATAACACACCTTGGTGGATGCTGCATCTGAAAGCCTCTCAGTGGGCACAGCTGTTGATACCTGTCAGTTGGGAAATTAAATAAAGAGAAAATAATTTACTTAGGGCTTTAGAAGATGAAAATCTAATTAAGTAAAATAGGATAAACATATACAAAAAAAGAAGAGAAGAAATATTTGAAAGATTAACACATAAATATTACATAGACATGCTTGGGAGATATCTGTATGCACAAGCATATTTACCTTCCGTAACATAAAAACATCTACTGCCTGGAAGATGACCCACCCCATACAAACAGTGAGAAACTCTCTCCTATTTCATTCACACCACATTTAGGCCAGATCAAGGGGCTTAGAGTTCTCATTTCTTTTAACCCTTCTCAGATTCCTGCCAAATGGGTATTATCACTGTTTACAGATTGAGAATCTGAAGCTTTCGGGGTTATGTAACTCTTCCCAAATTTCACAGCTGGTAAATGGTGCAAATATCAGCAAGAAAGACCTCTGAAACATGAAAACCAATATCATAAAATCAACAAGACCAACTTTCTGGACATTTACTTATGGTAGCATCTGGGAAGCCCCAGTTTCACCTTTGAAGACAAACTTTCAACTAGCTTGATGATCGATCAGGAGATAGATGTGTGGCAAGCAGCAGGGACTGGGAGATGATGGGGGGGTGGCGCTCAAAAAAATACATGTACAAAGAACATTATGCTCAGGTAAAGAACACCAAAACACGATGTTTGGGGCTACTTAGCATTAGAAACAGCTACAGCTATCACTTTAGAAAAACACAACCATCAAGGAAAAGCTAAACAGATCAGCACATTCTGTTTTAAGAATTTACTTAATAAAAAATGTCCATTAACATATTATTTTTTTCTAAGTCTCAATTACATGTATGTTTTGCTAGCTGAAAAAAAGAAAAAAAAAATCCCTCAACTCAAATAGTGTGTTCCCCAGTAACACTGAGGGAATAAGGACAGAAAGCACGGAGGGTGAATGGAGGTCTGTCGGGAGGAATATGACCCTGGTCCAATGAGGTTGATGCCGAAAGGATCATGTGTGGCCCTGTGCTGGGCCGGGTGTGATGCTTTGTTTCTCACCCCAAGGGAGAACGACGGAGCCCCCAGCATCTCTTCAGACCTCGCCACACCCTCGACGGAGCCAAAATGAGGGCCTCGGTCCGCATGACCCGGTACTTGGAGTCCTGGGGGGCGGCCAAGCCCTTTGCACACCTACATCACAGGGACAGCATGACCACAGAGAACGGCAAGATCAGCACCACGGTATGCCCTCCCCTGCCTCCAATGCCTGAGCACTGGGGGCAAGCTAACTTCCCAAAACCAAAGGCTGGGTATCTCCTGCCAAAATAACTCCTATCTGCAAGAAACAAACTTACCACCTTCTCCTTCTTAGATAGACCCTTATGAACAGCCATCAGGGTATGAGTGAGCTCCATGCTGACGTTGCTAAGGGTTCCACCCTAGCATGGTTTTTTTGCATTATAGCTTCATAGACAGTGTTATTTACAACGGATAGTAGCAATTAAATACAACTATTTTTTAATTGAGGGGTTTTTAAAGAAAAACTTATATCATGAAGTAGAAAGCCTTGAGGTTCTTCATAAAAAGACAAAGGCATGATGCCCTTAGAGTTTGAGTAGTATCATCAAGCCCGTTTCTTCACCGCACAAATGTCCAGGCTGTGTTGGCAGCAGTGGGCACTGCCTTGTTGTGGTTCCATGTTTTCCTCCAACTTCCAGCATATGAGAAAGCACTGAAGCTCCTTACACCAGGGACATCTGTGATAAGATGGTTGCAATGGAGATGGAAAATAGAAAGGCCCATAGGAGGAGAGAAAAGGAATACAACCAAGCACTTAGTATAATCCCCATAGTATTTTTAGATTTTAAAACTATCTGGGGGTAAAATTTCATGGATAATGCTACTAACTGTGCTAAGTTATGCAGTTAGTAGCATTATCGTAATGATAATGATAATGCAGCTACAACTGATGCAGTTACAATTTTTTAAAATATAATATTATGTAATTCTTATTGTCTGATGAGAACGAACATGCCAGTTGTCAGGTGAAAGTGGAGTTTTTCAGTCGCCCTGGGCCCCTACCCATCCCAAGGTCTCAAAGTGACACTCCCACACCCAACAGGCAGGGGCTCAGCATTCATGTTTTGGCTTAGTTGTATTTCTTCTCCCAACTTCTCTTCATCTTTTTTCAACTCAAAAGTAAATGTGACTATCAGACGGAAGACCATGACCCATCAGACAATCAGTAAGACTGCACAAGTCCTAGCATTTGCATTTTAATAGCCAAAGAGGGACCATAGATAGAAAAACAAATAAATGAACAAGATCACGTGAGGTGCTGATGAGGGTCATGGGAAAGATAAAATTGAGTGATGGCATCCAGAGTAAATGGAATGGCCACTGTGGTAGGTCAACTGAGGGAGTCTCAGAGGGAGAAATGAGTGAATGGGAAGAGGAGGTGGCAGAAGAACAAAGTCAGTGGCCCAAAGATGAAAGTGAGTGTGGTGTCCCCTGAAGACAGAGAGGAAGCTGCTATGGCTGGAGCATCATAAACAATGAGCAAAGGGAGGTCATGGAGTGAGATGCACAATGGTAAAAGTTTATATGGCATTCTATGTGCAATTGGAAGTCATGGAGAATCTTAAGCAAGAGAGGGTCATGATATAATTTAGGCCTTGGAATAATGGAACAAGAGTGCAGGGGTCCCTGGTAAGAATGATATCCCCTTATGCTAAGAGTTTAGCACCACTGCTAAATGAGAAGCAAATTCAGGGGCTAATATGAAAGTAGAGCCAACAAGACTTGGTGATGGATTGGATATGCGTGAACATTAGGAACAGAGATGAATCCAGACTTTTTGGCCCCACAGCTGGAACAATGATGATGCCATTAATTGAGATGACAAATACAAGGGGAAAACCGGGTTATTTAAGATGGAAATTTAAGACTTTTCTGCTGGACATCTTCTAATCCATAGTTAAGTGCAGCGAGGATGTAGTTGGTTGGATCTGCAAGTCTAGAACTCACAGGACAGGTCCAAGATGGAGGCATGAATGTGAACATCATCAGGTTGTAGATGATATTTGAAGCCATGGGACTGGATAAAATCATCAAAAAGAGAACAATCCAAGGAGGAAGGCCTGGGACAGCTGGGGCCTTCCAGCATTTAGATATGTTAGAGAAACAGCATCCTAGGACTCCACTGTCCAACCAGTGAAAGCCTGTGTTTCTGTCACTCATGAAAAACAATGATTTGGATAAGTTAGCTTCAGTCTTGCTAGTTAGTGCTATGTTGGATAACTACATTTCCCATCAGGATTTATTGTACACCAACAATTCGTTGGTTGGTTGGTTGGTTGGTTTTTAAGGAATAAGAATCATATATAAATACCTGGATATGATTTCCCATGCTGTTTTTCATGTGTTCTTGTGGGGAAAAGGCTTATTTTCCCAGGTATGTTGTTGTTGTTGTTGTTGTTGTTGTTGTTTATTTGTTGTCAGCCTTTATTGTCTTAAGACTTAAGAGTGACTGTCTCTTTTATTATCTGAGCGTAGGACCCAGGAATGGTTTCAATCTGACTTTAATCTGGTGTTATGTGTTGATGAAGATGCCTTCTTCAAGATACAGCTACAACTGTTGAGTGTCTCAACTTCAGAAAGTTGTTTATAAAAATTAAAGGACCTCTTCAACGAACTCCATTTTCTTAACCATCTGGTCCCACCTGTTGCAGGTTCAAAGCCTGTTGGATTGCCTTAGCAGCAGTCTAGCATATTTTAAGAAAGTCCCAAGTTTTTGGTGATGCATTAAGCCCAAACCACTTTGACTTAACTATGTGTCTCACTCACTTTCAGAAAGACCCTATTGGAGTTTTCACTTATAAATCCCAGGGTCAAACAATTGACATTGCCGAAAGTGATTCCTTTATCTAATCCCCTATGCAGAACTCCATTCACTCTGGATTCAATATTAATAGAGCTCTTGAATAATACATTACTTTACTGTATGGAATGAAACTTGGAGCTCAATTACTTTTTGAAAAACGTCTTTCCTTTCTGTAGGCTAAATCCATATCCTAATATAACCTTGGAAATCAAAGCAGCAAACCAAAGTTCCTTTGGAGCAGTTTTGTTCCAACTTTTAGTTTCATTCCTACTATAAATGTGTAAAGGTGATCTTTCCTTGAAAGCCTATTATTGAATATTTGGCAATGGCTTTTCCACTGATAAATTCTGACTATTTCTCTTCCACTTCTCTTTTGGGAACTACCAGCACCCCTTTGCTGATTTATTCTTTTTGTCCGATGGTTTGTGATTTCACATACTTAATCAATGGTACTGTTTCTTAACACCCCAGTTCAGTGATGAGGATGACTACAGATTTTGTGGTTATATTTTTATTCTTTCTACAGCATTTTCAAATATCTGTCTGATACCAAAGTCCATTTTCACATGGTTATAGGTTACTGATGGTAACTCTGATATCAGTCCCCGGCAGGCCGCTGTTTGAAATCAGATCTGATAACAGCAGGCTATAAATCTTAAAACTCCAGACAATAATCCTGATGCTTCTAGCATCCAGAGTTTAGAGATTACACCAACATTCCAAAGATAAACTGAGTTTACACCTTGATTTAGGATTAAGCTCTTTTTCTCCACATGAGTAATTAATTATTTGTTAGCTAAATGTTACTGTCCATGATGAAAGAGGAAATATGTTTCACCTTGTTATCATTGCAACATTCTTCTTGAAACAAGTTTTTGACAATTAATAACCTTTTTTCTCAATATAGGATGTACCCATGGGTCAGCATAATTTTCAAAATCGCACCTTAAGGTATGGTATCTCTCTGACTATCTGATTTTTTAAAGCTTATTGCTCTTTATTCATTTCTGAGAGTAATTATCATCAATTATGGTCATTTCAAAGGCTACTTCTGAAAGAGCAGCTCCCCACGAAAAGCCCTATTAAATTGCTTTCAGCTTCTAAAAATAGAATCATTGGGGTCTTAATGTTAGAATTGAGAGAGGGAGAAGGAAAACACCACCTGGTACTCATTTTAGAATGTTAAACTGTTTTCCTAAAGTGACTCTTGTTAATATTAATGTGTGGTAAAAAATAATAATAATAATAATAATAATGAATTGTCTTAAAATGGGTATGTTGCTTAAAATTGCATTTTTCTGCCTGTAATCCCAGCACTTTGGGAGGCCAAGGCGGGTGGATCACTTGAGATCAGGAGTTTGAGACCAGCCTGGCCAACATAGCAAAACCATGTCTCTACTAAAAATGCAAAAAATTAGCCAAGTGTGGTGACATATGCCTGTAATCCCAGCTACTCGGGAGGCTAAGGCATGAGAATCGCTTGAACACGGGATGTGGAGGTTACAGTGAGCCGAGATCAGGCCACTGCACTCTAGCCTGGTCGACAGAGTGACACTGTCTCAAAAAGAAAAAAATTACACTTTTCTGTTGAATTCTAAAGGTAAAAGTAAGATAAATCCAGTCTGTCTATAGTGAAAAAAAAGGGTTACCCATTCTGCTCAAAAAAAGAGAAAAGCTTCCCACAAATGTCTCCACGCGCCCTGTTGCAGCCACTGTAAAATCCCATGCACTAACTCCTTTTATCCCCATGTTCCTCTATCTTTCGGGCTCAGAGTTTCACTTTACTATTGGTTTGGGAGTTAATCAAATCAATATTAGGACATTCAGGTAACCAGTGTAAGATGTAGTTCCAAATGCTAAGCCAGACTTTCTTTCTCCCCGGAGAGGTCAGTTTATTGGAGCTATTGATAGTTTTACAGAAACTAAGGGAAAATATGAGATCTGACCTGTTTTCTATAGGAAAAGAATTGTATCCAAGTAAAAATGAAACATAGGTTGTAACCTGCTGATACAAGGCAACAGGGCACATTAGCCCAGGATCCTTCTAAGTGACTGTTGAGATGAGCTCTACTTTGGACTTTGTGCAATATTTGACATTTTAACTTTGAGATATAACATTCACAGTCTTTATGTTATGAGGATAAGTTGGTTCTTGAGCTTTTGAAGCATTATATGTAAGTGGCATATGCTGTAATGGCTGTAATGAAGAGAACTTAAGCTAATTTGAGGCATATTGGAGAGCCGATAAGTCACCTGGAGACAACAGCATAGTGCCTCTGGTCAATAAGATGCTGGCACATCTATGAGCAACTGACCACAAAAATGTCAGGAACTTCCTTTCACTTTATATTCACAGTCTCTTCTGTTATCTGTTTCTCCCTCCCAGCAATCCTGCTTTAAGAGTCTGTTTATAGAACTTACAATGGGTAATGTGTCATGGAACCCCAGGATTACGTTAGGCAGCGTCACCCAGGATGAGTGCTGTGTGGAAGACAACGATAAGAAGCTGTCATTATTATTTGCGCTAGGCTATAGAAACTCTAATTTGGTCTCTGCAGCATTACTGCAAGGCAGAATCTGTTGCTTTTATCATTTTAGAAGGGAAGAAACTGAGGCACAGAGGGATAGGAGGATGCCAGAGTTATATGGCTGGTGGAGATGAAGCCAGTATTTGTGCCCGGGCTCTGTGACTCCAGAGCACGTGTTCCTAACTGCTCTTGCCTGCTTTACTAAAGGCCTCTTCCACATTTATCCCATTTGTCTCTGTAGTCGTTGATCTTTGGTGGCCTCAAAGCCTCCTGGAGAAAATCCCAGTTCTGAGTCAGACTTATCCAGGCTGCCCGGACACTTCCGGCCTTTGTAACGTGGACTGCCTCATGATACCTGTCTGAGCCTCCAGTCTGTCCCATGCACTCCTGTCACATGTCCCTTCCCGTGCCTACTTAGACCTAACAGCCCAGGCAAGGGTCTGGGGAAGGAGCCAGGGAGACAGAGTGGAGATGCGCTGGACACAGGGGTTGGGGTCCTAGAGCAGTGTGAAGGCCAGTGGTGGAGCCCAGGGGAAGGTGCCAGGATGGGAAGATGAGAGATGCTGGAAGTCAGCGGGAGAGAGTCCTGGAAGCAAATCAGGACTCCTGGTGGGGAGATCATCAGCCCCAGAGGACCTTATCATCTCCATGGCAGAGGTCACAAGACTGCAGAGATCAGAAAAGTGTCTGTATGTCAAGAATTATTGTCTGGATAATTAGCGAATTCAAATAATGCAGAAAGCATGCATTTATTGGCTACTTCGTGTGTCATATTTACAGCATTGAGCTCTCTACAGGCATCATCTAAGCAAATCCTAAAACAGGTTAACAAAGGCAATACCACTGTTAGCACTGGACAAATATCAAATAATTACATTTTCCTGTAAGCCTCAACATTCTTACACTGCTCCTTCTTAGACTTTGCAGAAGAGAAGGCCATCAAATTGAAGTCGAGAAACTCAAATCTAGATGTGGGACTGAGAAACGTTAAATGAAGGGTTTAAGGTCCTACAGGTCTCAGCTATAAACGAAAATATGCAAGCCATACTAGTTGCTTGGTAAAGGGTTCCTTGCTTTTTTTTTTTTAAGGAAAATAAAAATTAATTTGCCTTCTTCAAACAACTTGGAATTTGATATACTAAAACCTCTTAATTCAGTTGGCTCAATATCTGTGGATGGATCACTTAATATCATTCATTTTATTTTTTTAACTAAGACTGCTCTCAGCCTGTTTGAAGAAGACAAGGCCTGAAGACACAAATCCACAAACATAGGATGATGGAATTGGAAAACTCATCCATTTCATTAATGATAATTCTGTGAGATTTAATTATAGATAAATGTGATTTTGCATATTTAATGCTATTCTTATCTATATGTAGAGGCAATTCTGAACTCAGAAAAGTGTGATTTTTATTCCAGATTTGATGGTCTATTCATTTGTAATCTAATCAACCATAACACACAGAATTCATGCCTCAACCAAGATACAGGCATAGCCCTGTTCAGGCTAGCAGGCTGTGCTTTTTTAATCTTTGCAGTGGATATTTAACTTCTAAGAATAGGTACTATTTTGGTTTCCTCCTGACATCATTCTCATGCAAATTGTCAAATTAACCTTGGAGGGCTCTTACTATTTGGCACAATTTATTCAGAAAATATCTTATATTATGGCTAAAGGTTATTTGCTTCTGAAACTAAGTGAGATGGTCTGCAAACAAAAGTGGAGCTTTCTGTGAATAGTGCTTTGAAAACTGAGGAGCATTTAACATACCTGAAATAAGACTGTAGTTCTGAAAATTTTTGAGAGTTGACCAAGGAAAACATGAAGAAGGAATGACTATTTTGTCAACCAAGCCACATTTTTACAGGGGAATTTCTAGAACCAATGTATTCTTTCATAAAATAAAGTTTATGAAGGCAGCAAGTCAAAAGCTAATACATCTCTTAGGAGAGAAAGTTACTTTATCTCAAACACCAACTATATGTCTTTTAGTGTTGCCTTGTAAATGCCTAGTAAATTTTACTGTGAGTGAATAAGGAAGCATCTTTACTATTCCAAAAACTTTAGTTATTCACTCAATCCAAAGAGTGGCTGGATGTTAATAGAGAAGGGCCTGTTCATACACTGTTGTTTCTTTTTCTACTTGATTGACAGAATTAAACAGAGCTTTTGACATCATTGAAAAATAGGCTTACCGACACAGAAAGACAAATTTGGCATGTTCTCACTCATATGTGGGAGCCAAAGAAGTTGATCTCATGGAGGTAGAGAGTAGAATGATAGATACCAGAGACTGGGAAAGGTGTGTGGGTGGGAGATGGGTGGGTAAAGAGAGATTGGTCAGTGGGCCCAAACTTTAGTTGGATAAAAGGAATAAGTTCTAATGTTTGATAGCAGAGTAGGGTGACTATAGTTAGCAACAATGTACTGTGTAATTCAAAGTAGTCAGAAGAGAGAATTTGAAATGTTCCCAACACATAGAAATGATACTCAAGATGATGGATTCGCCAAATACCCTGATTGATCATTGCACATGCATGCAACACAATATCATCTGTACCTCATAAGAATGTAAAATATTATGTGTCTCTAATAAATAGGCTTAATATGTATTTTACTAATAATATCCTTACCCGTAATATTTCATTTTTCATATAGAACCAAGTCACAAAAGAAAAGATTTGAAGAAGAATTGAATGAAAGGATGATTCAAGCAATTGATGGGATTAATGCACAAAAGTGAGTACTTTTTTCTCTTAAATTATCATTCATCTTCTATTATGTTCCAAATGAATTTTATCATAGTCTCTTCAATAGTTGCCGTGACAAAGCCAAGTTTCTGAGACCATTGATTCATTTCACTTCAGTTGTCCCTCAGAAAAGTTTTGTTAAAAGTATTTCTTTTATTTTTAAAAAAATATTTAATTCCTGCCTAGAAAATATTCCCCAGTCGATTGCTGATAAACAACCTGAGGTGTAATTGGAGAGAGGAAAATTACAGCACGATGTGTTCAGCAAGTAATAGTTGTAAAAGATAGATTCTATATGGGAAAATCTTCAAATGTTAGCATGTGATACGATCCATCCAAAATGCATCTCTTCTTATTACAAAATTAATGTTGAGATACCTGTGTTCTAAATCCTAGAAGAGAATTAGCATTGGTGAGCAATGAGAGCAAGACCGATTTTAGGGGACACAAAATGTCATTTAGCCTCTGAGGCCAAGAATTGCTGTTATGGTTTTAAATTGCTGTTATGGTCCAGAGTTGTGGGAGGGAAACGATTTAAAGAAAGTGATGGCCTTCTCAGCCTCGACAGAATGATGGCGCTCATCAACCTTCGTATTCTCCGTGGGTGTGTGTGTCATAACTGAACCCACGGAGAGCAGAAGGTACATGGCTCAGTATGGTGCCTGGCACACGTCAGACATTCCATTCCTTTTTGTTGAGTTGAACTGTAGTGAAAACATCAGGAGGTCCAAATGAAAAGCCTTTACGGAAAAGCTTCCATCCTTATGGAGACCTATTTAATTTTTATCATGAAAGCTGACTCTTGAAAAGTGTAAATGATTTTCACCTAGAGTTCTTTGTCTCTAAAATTAAGTTACAGGGTCTCAAATAGTGCATGGCTTTGCAAAATGCATGCCTGTTTTAGATTGTTCCTTGTAGGTATTTATTATAGAATATTTACAGGGCTTATGAGAGAATCGCATCAGTGTGTTATGTGTGTCTGTGGTGGGTGTGTGCCTTTGTGTGTGAGTGTGAGTGCATATTTTCTAAGCAATAAAGCATCTTGGTCAGGCAAGAGTTGCCATTCAGATGTGCTGGAATACTGAATTATCACCTGTCTAGATCCCCTTCCTGTGCCACAAGTAGGCAAAGCCTTCTTCCTGTCCCAGAGTGCCCAAGGCCCACCAGCAGCACCAGGGCCAATGCTCTGCTTTGCCTGGCGCTAGGGTCAGTGTGAAAAACAACCTCACCTCTGCCTGAAACCATCACACACTGAGAAATAAATAACTTCCTGCAATCTAACAGCAGCTAAAACCTAGGGAGGCACCTGATTTCATAAAACATAGGTAGAAGGATGCATTCATTCAAGCAGAGGAAATAGCAGCTGATACCGTGTGACTCACCAGAATAAGACACAAGATCAGAAGAAAGAGGGAATCTTGTTCTTTGAGAAAAGTTAGCTAATAATAATAATAATAATAACATTAATATTTTAAAAACTAATTCCTAAAGTCATCCTCAGCATGTGTTCACGCAGGTGAAAATCTACCTTTTTAAATTATTTTTGTACGCACCTTTTAGAACGTTCCTACCACACAAATCATCAGAGAGTGCCACCACTGGCATTGCTTTATTGTTGATAAGTTGCTTTTAAATTATGTGTTTGCTTTGTGTCATTTAGTATTCAAATACATGTTTAGTTAACACCTTATGTTTTAACGTGGTTTTATTCCAAAGTAATGCTTAGTGCTGATGTAACTGCTTATGTTGTAATTTTCCCAACATGTTTCAGAAATCAAATAGAGAAAAGTGTGCTGTACTCAAAAAATAAAAGGGAAATTTTTCAAATGGAAGCTCTTATGCATGTATTTTTAATTAACCTCAGTTACACTTTGTTATGCCTTACTCATTAACTCCTCTTGTTCTTTGATATGAAGTTCTTCTGATCTTTGGATTTTCACTTGAGGACTCAACTGGGGCTCTGGGCTTGATGTACCATTCAGTAGTTTCCTGCTATTGCCATAAAACAGTGATTTCTATGCAGATTTTTGCTTATTCATTCACTGATGTATTGAACACGCATTTGTTAAAAAGCTGACTGATGTCACCATCTGCTCAGCCTTTCCCCAGTGTGTGCCATGGTGGTGGGGAACTCTCTGGTGTCTTGTCTTAGAAAGACTCCAAAGACACTCATCCTGTCAGATCAGGACCGTACTTTTATGACCTCATTTAACCTTCATTTCATTCTTAGAGGCTCCATCTCGAAATATAGCCACACTGGGAGTCAGGGCTTCAAAGATGCACTTTGGTCAGGGGCACAAGCTCGCGGTGCATAACAATAAGAAAGGGGTCTTCTCATTTAGTATCTCCTTTGTGGCAAGGACTTGCATTCACATATTTCTGAATAATTCTGGGTACAGGTGTGGGTATACCCATGCCCCTCTAGTCAGCATAGTATTCGGAATTTCCTTTATTTTCCTTAACCCCTTGACAAAAGAAAAAAAAAAAAACCTTAGTATAAATAAATAGAGAATCACTTATTGCGATAACTCAGGATGGGGTTGACTTTCTTCATGCCATAGACCACTGGGGTCCGGAAAAATGTCAGGAGGCCCTAAATCAAGCACACACACATTCCCTCTCTCTTCTCTCCTCTTCTCTCCCCTCCACTGCTCTTCTCTTTCTCTGTAGTTCCAATCCCCTGCAAGTAATAGTTGACCTAATTGGCACACACAAATCTATTCCCTTCCAAATATCCAAATCACATTTATAAATCTCTTTGTTTTCTACACATCAAAATATTCCCAAGTCCATTGCTGATAAATAATCTGAGGTGTCATTGGAGAGAGAAAAATTACAGCACGATGTGTTCAGCAAGTCACATTTGTAAAAGATAGATTCTAGATGGGAAAATCTTCACATTTTAGCATGTGATACGATCCATCCAAAATGCATCTGTTCTTATTACAAAATTGATGTTGAGATACCTGTGATCTAAATCCGTAGTGGGAGTGGAGGCCACCTCAGAAGATTCACAGAGGTGATTAAGTGTGTAGGAAGAATATGCGCTTCTTAATTCTGAAGACAGAGTGAGAATTAGGCCCATCCATCATTGCTGCAAGGGAGAAGCCACAGGCCAGACCCAGCGTGCTATGGCAAAAGGAGGCGAATGTGTTCACTGGTGGGGACCCAGTCATGTCCCTAAGCATGGATCTAGTGCTGGGGCTCACGAAGCACCACAGGGGTTCTGGGGACTTAAGGCAAGCAAGCCTCATCCCGAGCCCTTGCCATCCACCTGCAGGTCACAGGCCATGGAAACCTAGACTGGGTGCATGCTGGCATGACTAGTAAAGGAGGTGCTGGTTTTATTTTCACTTCCTAAATTTAACTCTCGCTCCCAAGCTGACATTTTCCAGGAACATTTATAAACTATATTTTTTTCTCAGTAAAGGAAATACTGTTTTTAGTAAGTTACCTGCATATATTATTCATAGTCTGATAAAAACACAGTTCTGAAAGTGAGTGTGGTGAAAATTTATCTTAATTTGTATTTTCTGGTCCTTTTAATGTCAACCAATCTTTGATTCCTCCGTCTAGTCTTGTGAAACAGAATAATAGTTCTGCCGCTGGTATGGTAATAAGAAATACCATAAAAGTTTATTTCCCTACAGCTTATACCCTTGAATCAAAGAACTATGCAGCCATAAAAAAGAATGAGATCGGCCAGGTGTGGTGGCTCATGCCTGTAATTCCTGCATTTTGAAAGGCCGAGGCAGGTAGATCACCTGAGGTCAGGAGTTCAAGACCAGCCTGACCAACATGGAGAAACCCTGTAGCTGGGCTTGCTGGCATGCACCTCTAATCCCAGCTACTTGGCAGGCTAAGAGAGGAGAATCACTTGTACCCATGAGGCAGAGGTTGCAGTGAGCTGAGATCATGCCACTGCACTCCAGCCTGGGCAACAAGAGTGAAACTCCATCTCAAAACAAACAAACAAACAAAATCATTTCCTTTGCAAGAACATGGCTGGAGCTGGAGGCCATTATCCTTAGCAAACACAGGAATAGAAAACCAAATGTTCTCACTTATAAGTGGGATGAGAGATGAGAACACATGGACACGTAGAGGGGAACAACATATGCTGGGGCCTGTCAGAGGGTGGAGGGAGGGAGGAGGGAGAAGATCAGGAAAAATAACTAATGGGTACTAGGCTTAATACCTGGGTGATGAAATAATCTGTACAACAAACTCCCATGACACAAATTTTACCTATGTAACAAACCTGCACTAAATAAAAGATTTTTAAAAGAGATATTTTTATTGTTCTCACTTTTAATGGTTGTCAGTCTAGAATACATTACTGACTTCCCTGCCCCAGTCGAAAGTGCCCTGTGGATGGTTCCTGGGATGTTCAAGCTAATCTTGGTGTGTGCCTGGCAGTGAGAGTCTTCCAAACTACTTGCTTCAAACAGGTGTTTAAAAGTCAAACAGTGTGGTACAGTGCATACTTCCATATAATTTTTATTTATTTGTCAACAACTGAGCGATGCATAGTACTTATGCATGCGTTTTTATGTTTGCGTCAATCTATCCTGAACAGATTGCTTATTATACTAGTATTTTTATCAATTTTTTAAAAACTCTAGACAGGCGCGGTGGCTCACGCCTGTAATCCCAGCACTTTGGGAGACTGAGGCAAGTGGATCACGAAGTTGGGAGTTCATGACCAGCCTGGTCAACATGGTGAAACCCCATCTCTACTAAAAATACAAACATTATCCAGGTGTGGTGGCGGGCACCTATAGTCCCAGCTACTCAGGAGGCTGAGGCAGGAGAATGGCTTGAACCTGGGAGGCAGAAGTTGCAATGAGCCAAGATCACATCACTGCACTCCAGCCTGGGTGACAGAGTGAGACTCGATCTCAAAAAAGAAAAGAAAAGAAAACTTTATTCAAGCATGACTTTTTCTTTCTAGAAATGAAAAAAGTGACAATGAAAGTATGTTTGCTAAGTCTGAAAGAAGCAAAACCTTCTCACCCAGATCTTAAAAGCACTCTGATGGTTTGGATGCTCTGATCTGTTGCCCTCTAGAAGCTGAAAAAAAAAAAAAAATGGTGCTTCTCTAGGAATTAGATCCTTAAGGAGGTGAAACTACTGGATGATTTCAGAAAAACATGGGGAAATCACATTATTGATGTCTTTACTCCTTTAGATGAACTTATCTCCCTTGTTATTTAATTTAGATCCCTTGAGTTTCAGTTGATTTGACAGTTGGTTTATAATATAGAATTTTCCAAGGAGGACAGTGTATGATTAGGAATATTATATTTTCAGATCCTGTTAACATTATCCAGATTCCATATCCAGTTAGTTGGCATTATATGTTGTTTTAAAAAAAAAAAAAAAAAATGTTGTTCAGAATGATACACGATAAAGAAAGAAGAGTGCAAGTCATTTTAATAAATAGTTCCAGATGTTTGATTGGAGATTCAGTTTTATGATGTGTTGGTCCTTTCTATTTCTAGGCAATGGCTCAAGTCTGAAGACATTCAGAGAATCTCACTGCTTTTCTATAACAAAGTACTAGAAAAAGAGGTAAGCTTTTTTCTTCTTCAAAATCACCAATTGGGTTTTCTGAAATTTGAATTTCTTCATGAAATTGTGCTCATGTTTTTTATATGTGGCATTTAAGCTGCCTCTCACTATATTCAAACTCTTTCTGGCTTTTCTGGTGATTCTTTCATGCATATATTGCTTTATTGTATTTCTTGTTACCAAGTTTCTATCTTTGGTCAGTCACCATTCTCAACCCTCTCGATAGTAAATGGTATCTGCAATGTGTGTGAAATATCCCAATTAAATGAAAGATGTGAGAGATAATATCTGCTCTTCTCAATGTGAAATTCTCTCAGAAAAGTCTTTAAAAAACCAGAATTCTTCTTGATAAATCTACAATGTCTTTACACAAATTATTTTAATATTTTGACCAAAATATGAGTTTTACATTGAATGTTTTTTCAGGGTAATTAGAACTTTTAAGTGTTATTGTATCTAAATATTTTCATATTATGGCTCTTAAAGTGAGAGCTATTTCAGGCACAAATAAGTAAGCAGACATTTAGATTTTACATGTCAAGCTATATATGAGTTTGCTAAAATGACTTCAGTTGATTGTTGCAGAGAGGACAACCATTCTTCTAGCTCGACTTTATTTTATTTGCCTTTTGTTTTTTGTTGATCTAGAGAAGGAACCAGACTTAGAAGTAATTTGCATCATCCAACTATATAATTATAGGCCTAGTTTGAACAAAAGTTACATTAATGGTAGCATTCGCAGCTCTGGTATTAAAATTATGTTGATAGGCCCAGTGGCTCATGCCTGTAATCCCAGCATTTTGGGAGGCCAAGGCAGGCGGATCACGAGGTCAAGAGATCTAGACCACCCTGGCTAACACGGTGAAACCCAGTCTCTACTAAAAATATAAAAAAATTAGCCAGGCGAGGTGGCGGACGCCTGTAGTCCTAGCTACTCGGGAGGCTGAGGCAGGAGAATGGCATGAACCTGAGAGGCGGAGCTTGTAGTGAGCCAAGATCGCGCCACTGTGCTCCAACCTAGAAGAGTGAGACTCCATCTCAAAAATAATAATAATAAATTATGTTGATAAAATTTAGTTCATTATTTTATGAATATCAAATAGAAATATTAAATATGATAATTCCTTCCAAAATCTATGGACACACCAAAAGTTTTTTTTTTTATGTTGGTTGTCAAGAGGATGTATTGTCTACTGCTAAGTAGAGGACTCTGACCATTGAATGCAGTTTACCAAATTGATGCTTGTTATAATGTGCTATTATTGACCATCTTATCGTTAGTAACTTTAGCAATATTAATGGCTACTTATTGCTTAGCTGTTACATTATTTCTTTCCTGATAGAAGTCCATTTCTTTGTTAATACCACAAAGATATTCCCACTCATATCTCTGCACAAAGGCCTGAAGAAGTTAGAAGATAAGGATTTAATTGAGGACATAGAATGTAATCACATATCAGCAATTATGCTAATATAGCTTCTTCATGAGCATGGAAATTATGTTGGCTACTAAGTCACAAAATATACCCCCCAAAATTCTAGCAAACAGAAAGTGATCATTTAAAAATGCAGCTTTTGCATACATTCCCCATGTATACATATTTGTGGATGCCGACTTTAAAGCAAATTTTAGAGAGCAGCAAGACTTAAGCTCAGTTTTTGTCCATCTGTCCCCAGCTTGCCCTTCAGGGGATCAGGTAGGGCAAAAGGCCGCAAGAGCTAAGAGAAGAGAAATATCTGGAGACCCATCAGAGATCCTTCATGCAGCACTAAAACAGGGAGGCTAAAATGCAAGAAATACATATGTGTCCCTGTAACTTGGGAGACTTTATGCAAATGTAGCCAATGCAACCTGACAGTACTTTCAGGAGGTTTCAAAGGCATTGGCACAAAGTTTTATTTCCTTTAATGTTACCATACAACCTTTCGTAAGGCAGTTGAGCCTCAAAGTTGAGAGTATGAGTTCAGAGCCTGGTGAAGGTCCTGGTTTCCCATGCACTGTACCTCACTGATTCTAGTCAATTGTTCCAGTCCACAGTTTCTTCATCCAAAAATAGGGGCTGTTGTGTGGATTGAATGATTATCACAGGGAAAGCAGGGAATGCAGGACACCATGCTGAATGCAGCAGGGGTCATCACCAGCATCATAAGTATAGCCCTCTCTGGCATTTTTATCCTGCCTAAGTCAAGCAGGGTCAGCCCCAGGTAAGCAGCTCACACTGGTCAGCTTATTCATGGCATGGGGAACCATGTGGGTTCCTGCTAAATGCACTGGGCAAGAGGAAGAAAGAGGAGCCCAGTGGCCAGACTCAGAACAAGCCAACTAAGAATCAAGTCGACAAACCTTTTGGTCTTGTAACTTTACCCATCACCTCTCAATGGCATTAAGACAAATAATAAAATAAAATACTAAAATAAAGGAATATGACTTGCATTTCCTCAGTAGTATTGAAAAGTAAAATAGTATATGAGAAGGCATTCCCTTTCCCTCAATACTCATAGACAACAGACCCTCATGGGACCCAGGGCACAGGCGCGATTCACAGTTCACTCACTCAACCTTCTGGTCAGGTACCTCTCTCCTTACTAGAGAGATTCAGTTGCTTATAGATGGCTTTGAGAACAGTTCCGCTCATGAACTGTGGTCCTTGGAAGTCACTCCTTCACGGTTCTTATGGGGGAAGAAAACACTCACTGCTGAGATGAACAGGCTTTCTCCTTCCCTCGCGTTGGTGTCAATCTACACAATTACTGAGTGTGGTGCATGCTCTGGGTACAACTAGGCTGCTGGTCACTGTGTGCAGCTCTTCTCTTGGAGAACCGTCACTCACAGGTTCCTTTCTCCCCTTCAGTACCGGGCCACAGCACTGCCAGCATTCAAGTATTACGTGACTTGTGCCTGTCTCATATTCTTCTGTATCTTCATTGTGCAGATTCTCGTGCTGCCAAAGTAAGTACTTCTGGTTTCCATTGGGATTCTCACCTGGGGTGCCTTTCCACTGGAGCCCAGTTATATTTAAAGGTGTGAAAGGATGCTAATGTGTAGACAGAGGGGTGATTTAACATGTCGTGGTGAAGGGAGAGTAACCCAGGACCTCGGAGGTTAAGTGGCCCCCATGTGTCTTCCTTAGCATAATGTTGGATTTTCAGAGTGGACATGTTGATTCAAACTTCTAGGGATTTGAAAAAAAGAACTTAACCTTCTTGTTTTGATGTTGGTATTACTCTGATGCACAGTCTAGGAAATGTAGCTCAATAAACTTTACCCACAAAGAGCGCAGTCCCCAGATGCAGTTTCTAATAAACAAATGGCATTATATTACATTGAAAGGGCATGGCCTTTCACTATAAGACACACTTTGCCCACCCATCCATTTTGTCCAAGTTCTGTGCGTTACACGGTCCTCTCTTTGAAATCCACTCCACAGCCGTCTTTGATTGTTATAAGTCAAGGTTCAGCCGACCTCTCCCAGGAGAGACGTGGGTACAAATGGGAGAATCGGAGCAAACCACATTTCATGCTTTGGGGTGAATTCCTTCTGATTCCACTTACTGGTGAAAAACCAATCACTTTAGGATCCCTAGGTCATCTTTCTCTTGCACCTTCTTAATTCATTCAAGACCAATCAGGTGACTTTCTTCAAGAAAGCTAATTCTCATTTTACAATCTAAAGAAAATTATTGTCCTTCTTTTAATAACTGGGGATATAGAAAGAAGTTTTAAGATAGATTTTTTTTTCCTTCTGATCATATATTTTTTCTTTCTTAACCTATTTTGTTAAGGTCAAAGCAACCATTTTCAATCTAGTAGAATTCAGTTGTGTGCTTGCATTTAACTCTCATGGTGCAGCCAGCCTTTGTGGGCAACTCAAGCGGGTTAGATTGAGTAGCGTTTTGTCTCATTAACACACTGAGCAAGCTACAAAGAAGTTGTCTGTTTCTCCGCCTCTGTACTTCAAAGGATTTTCTTCTGGGCACTGAGCCAAATAGCCAAAAACCACTTTTGGGGTACAAGTGGTTTTTGGTTACATGGATGAATTGTAGAGTGGTGAAAGTTTCGTTCATGTATGTGCAGTTCCTTAGCAATGTGCTCCCTTATGGAAGGGGTTTCCAGTAGACTTCCCCTCTCCCCATGAATTGGAAATGTAATACATGGGCAAAAGGAGCCCTTCTTCAGGACTTACAAAATCTTGGGATTTACAAAAAAATTGGGACAGTGAAATGTCCCAATGTTAACATATCAGTTTTCCATTCAAACAAATGTTAACAAATTAAGCTCCTTAGTGTCAGGCCTGTTATCATGGTACTGGAGAGAAACAGCCATCCCAGTACACACTGGCTTATAGACTGGTAGAGCAGAAAAGCATTTTGAAAGCTAGATAGGTGGAATAAATATTACCCAGGGAAGGGGTCCTCACTGTTACTCTTACATAGATAGATTCATTAATTTTTCTACATCTTCCTATTGGATGAGTATTTCTATATTCTCTGCATTATAAGTAATACAGGATCTGTCACCTACTGGGAGGTGCTGGGGGTGGGGAGAGTGACTGGGGGCGATTTAGAAGATGCCTCCAAAGAAGACAATAAGACTTCCAGGAACCAGGAAAAATGTTTCGTGGGATTTCACTTTTAAGAAACACATCCCTGTCATGTCTTTGCTGGCTTGGCTTTGATTTTCCTTGTCTCTCTTCTGTGGTATTGCATCTTTATGAGGACCCATGGACATTCATTCTCTCAAGCTTCATCACCCATTACTTTTGTGGGTGTACGCAGGTTGCATTCGCTCTGAGGAAAATCCACAGCCTCATCTAATGGAGTCCCCAGACCTGCACTTGCTGTAACAGCCTCAGGCTTCTTGTTCTGTGACTTCTTCATGTTTCTTTCATATTAATATCTTCATTTTTTTTCTTTTTCTTTAAAAACAATCTTCCTAGGAAATATCTCAAAGATACAGAAAAGTACAGAGTGTGATATAATAAACACACACAGGTCCATAATCCAGACTTTTGCAAATGTTTACCTTGTGTCCTCTTTACTGTAGATACAATTTTCCATCCTCTTGACTGTTATTATTTGGGTATGCTTCCTTTAAACAATACATGTTTTTATTTTGGTTTTATTTATTCAATTTGATATCTTTCTTTGTGTTAATTTCTTCTATATTTGTTTTTGTCATCTGTATTTTGATTTTATAATTGGTGTGAGTGGACCCACTTCTACCATTTTATTTTGTGTTTTATTTACCTTGCTTTTCTTTGGTCCTTTATTCTCTTTTTTCTGGTTTCTAATGGATTGATCAAGTTCTTTTATTCCTTTTATTAATGGTAAATTAAAAGCAACTTTATTAGAAAGTAAAGAAATAAAAGAATGGCTACTCCATAGGCAGAGAGGCCTGTTTATTCTTTTATTTCTTTTACTGGTTAGGAAGTATATATTTTTTTTTCATTAAAGATTACTATTAAAGTTTATAGAATATATATCATTTATATTTTTCTTTTAATGATTATCATTAAAATTTCAATATGTTTTATGTTAAAGAATAAAAATATATAATTATTATTTATAATATGTATTTTACATTTACATGTTTTTAATATTATATATTTTTTGTCAATATCTTTTGGGATAGAAGTGGTTTTTGTTACATGGATGAATTGTAGAGTTGTGAAGTCTGAGATTTCAGTGCATTCATCACCCAAGTAGTATACATTGTACCTAATACGTAGTTGTCTATCCCTCACTCTTCCTACCCTTCCCCCTTTGGAGTCTCCATAATCCATTGTATCACGCTGTGGGCCTTTACGTACCCATAGCTTAACTACCATTTATAAGTGAGAACATACAGTATTTGGTTTTCCATTCCTGAGTTATTTCACTTAGAATAATGGCTTCCAGTTCCAACCAAGTTGCTGCAGAAGATATTATTTTTTTATTTTGGTGGCAGAGTAATTTTCCATCGTGTATGTACACTACATTTCATTTATCCATTCATTGGTTGATGAATGCTTGCATTGGTTCCATGTCTTGGCAATTGTGAATTGAATTTTAACATTTATGCTTAATGAAATACATTCTAAACTTATTCATAATCTCTCTTCAATATAATTATTTCCTAGGATTTTTAGCTCTGACTGTGATTATAGTCAATGTTTATTTAAATCTGCCACATTCTTTACCAATTAATTTGCTCATCAATGCTTTTTAAAAATTATTGGTTTCTTCAAATTCATTTATTTATTTTTTGGTGATGTCTATGAGTTGTTAGGGTTTTTGGAGAGGGGATTTATGAGTAACAATAGCTGCCTTTTTAAGTTATATTAAAATTTCTGTATCTACCTTATTTCACAGTTCTTGAATAACAGTTTAACTGGGCATAAAATTATAGGTTAACTTTTATTTTCCCTCAGACTTATGATGACATTACTCTGTGGCATTACAGCTTCTATTTTTGTTAATGAAGTATTTCTGTCAGTCTCATTACATTCCTTTCTAAGGAGTTTATCTTTCCTCTCTGAGTGCTTTTAGGTATCTTTTTGGCTTAGGGGTGTGGTGATGGTATTTTCACCGTATTGTTTCCATAAGTGTTTTTGTTTTCATCTACCTAAGTGACTAGGTGTGATTTTTTGATCTGAAGACACATATCTTTGCTCAGTTCTGCAACATTCTCTGACTCTGTCTCTTACATATTGCTGTTGATTGTCTTCATTGTCTATTCTTTCTTCTGGAGTTCTTGTAACGGCATATTTTGTTGTCATCCTGGGCTCCAGGTTTTGTCATATTTCCTCCCAGTTTCCACTTTTTTATTTCTTTGGGCTGCATTCTGATAAATTCTTCACCCAACATTGAGATTATAATATTTGTGATTTTTTTTTTTTCATGTCTAAGAAGTCTATGTTGTTCTTAAAACCTAACCTTTTTGTATATATAATTTTATATTTTGCCTATGGAGTTTTGTTTCGTTTTCCTTTACTTGCAGATACATACATACATACATACATACATATATATATATGTATTTATTGATTGATTTATTTATTTTTGAGATGGGGTCTTGCTGTGTCACCCAGGCTAGAGTGTAGTGGCACAATCTCGGCTCACTGCAACCTCCTCCTCCTGGGTTCAAGCAGTTCTCCTATCTCAGCCTCCCAAGTACCTCAGATTACAGGTACTCAACACCACGCCCGGCTGATTTTTGTATTTTTAGTAGAGACGGGGTTTCACCATATTTGTCAGGCTGGTCTCGAACTCGTCACCTCAAGGATCTGCCTACCTTGGGCTCCCAAAGTGCTGGGATTACAGGCGTGAGCCACCACGCCTGGTCTATTGCAGATTGTAAACATGTTATATGGAAAGATCACTTCTTTTATTTCTTTTTATTTATTATTTTGAGACAGAGTTCTGTTCTGTCACCCAGGCTGAAGTGTGGTGGCACCATCTTGGCTCACTGCAACCTCTGCCTCCCGGGTTCAAGCAGTTCTCCTGCCTCAGCCTCCCGAGTAGCTGGAATTACAGGCACCTGCCACTGAGCCGGGCTAATTTTTATATTTTTAGTAGAGACGGAGTTTCACCATGTTGGCCAGGCTGGTCTCAAACTTCTAGCCTCAAGCAATCCGCCTGCCTTGGCCTCCCAAAGTGTTGAGATTACAGGTGTGAATCACTGCGCCTGGCGGAAATATCACTTATTTTACTGTGTTCCTTAGGATTGATCAATATGTGATTCTGCCATTTAAGTCTGTCCTTGTATTGTCTGTAATTTTGTGTATATATTTATCAACAGCAAGGATTTGGGTCCATGGTAGTCTTGTATGTTCTGAGTTGTAACGGCATCACTATGGGATAGATTTCAGTGTATCTTTGCCAGGTATCTCTGGGATTCACCAATTCAAGTCACAATATTTTATTAAATCCTTAGACTAAGGTTCCTGCACTAAGGAGGTCATGTGAATT